TTCTCCCCCTCACACACACACCTCTATAAGAAAGTTTCCCACTAATTCCAAAGCATGAACAGAAGCACCATTGCTAAGAGATCTTGCAACTTGCATGTTATTAATGAAGAGTTAGAGGAAAGTCATGAGAAGGTACCTCATAAAATAGAAAAGAGGCATATGACATTTTAGTCATAAACAGATGGCCTATACATTTCTAAAACAGTCTGGCCAATATATAGTGACACCCTAAGTATTTTGTTTGCCACATTTCTCAAAGATAATTTTTACAAAACATTCATATCACTGAACTTCAGATCTGCCCAGGCAACCTCTCTGGTTGCAGCTCTCATGTAGATAAGGGCTTCACCATCTCAGAAGAAAGCTTGCTTCAAAGTGATACATTCAGTGACAATGTCCCCACTCCGAGTCATTTCAACCAACTAAGGAGTCTCAGACACTGCTGCAATCTTTTACACTACAGGGCTACCTGGACATCAAGGTCTGAGTTACACATTCAGAAACATCTGTCTGCTTTATTGTGTAGGCTTATGGCAACAGCTATTATTGAAAATGTTTTAATTTTTACACAGAGGGAAAAAGGAAGAACAATGTATCTGAAGAAAAATTTGCCTAGACCCCTTTATGAAAGGGAAAGGCTGTACCACATTGAAAGCGATACTGAACACAGTAAAACTACCCTGAAAAAAAAAGTTAGTCTGAGAGCTTTTTCCTAAACAAGGAAGAAACAATACAAAATTAAGAGCAAAGACAGAAAATGGTGTTTGTATACAGTGAGAATTTCTCACAGACCTGCCTCAAAAGCAGACAAACTGAATGAAGAGGTATTAGCCAACCCAAAATCTTTAGCACCCAACAAATTTTTATCACTAATATTCTGAAAAAAACAAACATGCAACAAAACCTCAAGTTCTGGCCAGCTACATTAAATGCTTAGTGAAGAGAAAACAAGAAGAGAAGCAAATAAGAAGATAATGGGGATGGAGAGGAAAAAAGCACAAAATAGGAGCCAGAGAGAACCAGAGTATGTTTTTTTCCATTAGGCTACTGGAGATGGCAACATCATTCAGAACTCTCTGGACAGCTCCAGTCAAGGGTCTTCTTTAGTCACTGACAAAACAAGAAAGGTCACAGATTATATAACTGTTACCAATGCCACCACCAGTGAAGGATGATCTAATATTGATTCAACTCTGGTCAGAGCACACAGTTTCTCCTGTTTTCTAGCCAACTTCAACATTACAAAATCCTGTACTTAGTACACCAGGTCCAGCAACCTGATACCATGGGTTAACTGATTAACAACTGTTCTGTAAGAGATACCCCAAACAAGAAAGGCTTGCAATGGGCAACCAGAGTAATTCTGTACTTGTATTTTGCTAGGGAAGCACTGACACACAACAGTACATACAGACCATGCATAGAATCCAACCTTTACTGTAAATGTGGAGATCAATCCTCCTTTTCATTTATCTACCCCACATTTCTTCTTTCTCTATGACTGTTTCCTTTTTAAAAGAAGATAGCCAGAACACTGAAATGACAAAGCTTTGGACATGGTTAGTCCAACTCTGTTATTCCATCACAAAAATCCCCCAATCTGACAGTTAGCATCACAGTGCTTTTAAAATGCATTTTACCATAAAAGTAACCTCACGACAACATAATACTGAAGCTCTATTAGTAGCTCATGAGCCTCCACTCCATGTTAAAGGTATCAGAGGGAAAAACTAGGCTTGGAACCTAATTGAGCAATATCTTTAATTTGAACACTTCATTAAACACTAGTGCTGAATATGACACTTCCATGGTTCCACTCTTGAAAAATTAGAAAACTTATTGAAATGATAACACACCAAGATTAGAATTCAATTTTCTATCCACAAATCGTGAGGCTTCCTATGTGCATAAGACATAACCCTGTAGTTCGCAAGTTTCACAGTTTTGTAATTTCCTCCTGTTTCAGTAAAGAAGCTTAACTCTACAACTTTCTATACAGAGACTCAAAAATAAGCATGAGTGTCATCTTCATGTCCACAGATGCTGTATACACAAAAGTATTTTTCCTGACTTTAGGAAGATAGTTCTTTCATGTTGAGAAAAAGGCCTAATTATGGACTTTCTTCTCATTATTAACTCTTAACTAAAAGACCTCGACAGTTTGGGAATAAGAGAAGTTAACAAGTAATTTTTGTTAAAAAAGCCCAAGGTGCTACATTCTGCATAAATTTGCATTTGAACATAGTTAAGTTATTTTAGTAAACAACAACCAACATTTCTATTCCTCTAATCCACTGCACCTGTCCAAAATTGCCGCAAGTGAAAAAACACACATTTGTTTCTAGATGAAAACTAGTAATGAAACTAAGCTTTATGACAAACATTACTCACTCTCAATATACTCTGGAGCCATGTGCATCAGTCTCTATAACAGATAAGAATAACAATGTGCCCAAATAATTTTTATATGTCCTCATTTAAAAACAAACACACAACTTTACTCCAAATTAATTCAACAGAGTTATTCCTTTCTAAGTAAATTTAAATTCCATCTGAATATGACTAAAAGGTGCAGTATGAATTATTTTCTAAACTGAGTATACCAGGTCTAACAGGAGCATAAATCTGTATGCCTGTGCAGATAAGACCACAAGTATATACTGCTAAGAAAACAAACATATGCCTATGATCTTAATTAGAAAGGCTAAAGGAGTCATGTTATGTTAATTACTTTATTTCTGATCACTAAGCTAGTCTAAATGTTAAAAAAACCAGTTCACATACCTAACCTTTTCATTTCTACACTTATTCCTCCATACAGCAGTAATTATTAGTTCACTTCTATGAACTAATAAAGAGAAAAAATCTGAAGAGTACATTTTTTGATTTGCTGTCTTTTCATAGCTGAAACAGCAGAAACAACTAGAGGGCCCAAATTCCCCAAAGTACAAATAGTTTCTTCCCAGGTTAAAGGAGATGCTGGAGCAGAAAATAATTAAGGCTGGCCAAATATGTGCCACAACATTTGTATAACATTTTATTTCAGGTTTACAAACACATACAAAAAAGGGACTAAGGAAATTGTAAGAAACCAAGGTGTCCCCTTTCAAAATGGGAAAACAATTATTTGCAAAAATTGTTAGCCTGGAACTCAAAACAATTACATTAAGGTGAAAAAAACTTATACTGTTCTGTTTGGTTATGCCTCTTGGCTTTCCTCTAAAAAAAAAACCTAAAAGGTTTTAGGCCAGAGGCTCTTCTCAATGAAATTACAAATTATGATACAAAGTTAAAAGAGTTTAACAATGATAAAACACGATTTACAGTACAAAATAAGTGTATTCTGAAAGACTATCTGAACCTATTGAGAGACTAAATCATTATAACACCATATGTGCCTGGTACTGCATTCTGGGAACACTTACATGTGAAAATTATTACAACTCTCTGATCAAAAGAAAATAATAATAACCCAAGTTACACACCTTGAAGTTGTACAAAATATGCAAAGAAAAATATGCATACTGTTGGCACTCCCTTCCCACTTTGACTTTTACAATAATAGGTAGTGGCACACATATCCTATCCTTCAGGAACAAAGGGAACAAACCTCCCCATGTGACTTTTGCATCTGGTCCAACATGCTCTGTCCATATTAAGGATCTGACTGCCTAGAATTTAAAAGCACGCTAAGGATTTCACCGTGTTTTTCTAGCGGTTTATCGTCACAATCACCTTGCGGGCAAGCGCTTCCCAGGAAGGGAAGGAGAGGAAGGGCTCCAGCCTTCTCGACACCGCTGGCTCCCGGCACCGGGATCAGCACCCGGCAGAGGAACAGCGGCGGGGGCTCCCGCGGGCTCGGGCCGCTTCCGAACGTGCCGCTCGGGTTAAACACCGCTAGCGGTAATAAATAACTTCAGGGTTAAAACTCCAGGCCTCCTCTCCCGTCAATGTCCCCTCTTCCACTCCAAGCATCCTCCTACTCCTAAGCGAGCTGACAACGCTGCTCTCCATGAACAGTCATGTCTTCCCAGGCTCCAGGTGAAACCTACTGAGCTTGACGTCTAAAAATTTCGCCGACATCTCTCGCCCGCTCCTCGCACAGAAGCGGCGCTGACGCCCGTGTACACCGGAACCCCTCGGGCTCCGCTCCTGGGCGCGCCGCGCGTCCCCCGCCGCGCCGAGCTCCGCGGGGCACCGGGGCACCCGCCGAGAGCCCGGCAAAGGAGCCCCCAGCCTGTCACACTCGTACCGGCTCCGGGAGCCCTTCTGTGCAGCCACCGCAGGTCATGTGCCACGGGTTTATTAAGGGATCATCCGTGCGCTATGAGCAGCAGCATCATAAATGCCCTCCTCCCCCTCCCAACAGAGAGCACATAGGCACAAGCATCCCCATCCACCCCCTCCCAATTCCCAAAGTAAAGGCCAGGGAGGGGGAGGGGAAGGAGCCATCCCAAAGGAGCTGCCGTGCGGAGCGTGCCGAGCTCGGGCACTCCCGCGGCCGGGAGCTGAGGCCGCCTCCCGCCCGGGGAAGGCAGGCCCGGCACCTGCCGGCCCGCAGCCCGCGCCGGCCGCGGGCTCCCTTCACCAGCGCCCTCGCACTCACGGCTCCGCCGCGCTCGGAGGAAGCCCGGCCGCGTCCCGGCCCCATCCCCGCCGGCATTCGCCCACCCGCGCGCTCCGTCCCCTTCGCGCGGGTTATCCCCGTGTCAGTCCCCGCGGCTGCAGCGCCCGCCCGCCTGCGGCAGCTATGCCCAGCGCCGGCCGGCCCCGCTCACGCCGTCCGCCGGCGGCCGGAGCGCCGCCCCCACGCCCCGACCCCGGCTCCGGGCTTCGGGCACCGCACGCACGGCGGAGGGGCGCTCCCTGCGCAGCGGCGGCGGCGCCGCACGGCAGAGACAGACGGCCGGCGGGGCACCCCGCGGGGCGGCCTGAGGCGCGCACCGACCCGCGGCCGCCCCCCGCGCGTCCCCAGCGTCGTGCCCGGCGCGGCCCGGTACCTGTGAGGACGCCGACGCGGATCTGGTGGTCGTGGTTCGTCAGGATCATCCCCTCCGACGCCATGTTCGCGGCGCAGCACCGCACTGCCGGGGGGGGGGCGGCGCGGGAGCGGCGCGGGCGCAGAGGGGGCGGGGCCGGGGCCGCGGGGCGGGGCTGAGGGGCGGGGCCAGGGCGGGGGCGGGGCCGGGATACGACGGCGCCGGGGGGGTGCGAGACTAGCGCGGTGCGCGCGGCGCAGGCAGCACCAATCCAGCGCCGAGTGCGCGCCGAGGCTCGGGACCCCGGTCACAGGGGGATGGCGATTTAATTCCTGAGGCTGCGGAAAAGGGGAAAGGACAGATGGCAAGGATGGTAATGATCCCTGCTCTTGGTTAGCATGACATCACACAAGGGCCGATTCCAGTAGTTTGGAAAAGACCTCTGTGGTGGCGAGTTCCACCATGAGCAGCCTCGTCGAGCAGACCATGGCACCGGTGCCACCTCCAGCCTCCCCTGAGCTCCTCCGGCACGGCGGCTGCGCCTCGCCCCGGGAGCACACTGACCTCCGCTCCTGTGAGACATCTCTTCCTGACAGCCAGCCTCAGCCTCTCCTGCTGCGGCTCAGGACTGTGTCCCCTTCTCCTGTCACTGGCTGCCTGCGAGAAGAGGCCGATCCCCACGGCTGCAGCCTCCTTTCAGGTGGTGTGGAGAGTGAGGGGGTCACCCCTGAGCCTCCTGTTCTCCAGGCTAGAAATACAGATATACAGTTTTGTTTTTTTTTCCTGGGGCTCAGCAGGGTGTTTTCTCTACCTTTCCAGGCCTCTTCTCTCACCTGTCAGCCCTTCCCCTTTACTCTGAGACTGAAGCTGTTGTTACACAGACAGAGCAACAGTTATTTTGATAAAGCAACTTACTGTATTATTTTTTTGTCTTACTTATGTTACGTTGGATACTCTCAGGAAGCAAATATTTAAACTCATTTTGAATAAATATGTGGGCAAATGTCTTCCACATTTATTAGCACCATCATCAACTACAGATGATAACCCATTGTCAAAATTCAAGTCCCCTGACTTCAAAAGATCTTTATATTTTTGGGCATTCCTCTTTCAGTGCTTTCTTAGTAATAGCAGAGTCCTTATTAGTCTCCTTTTGACTGCCTACTAAAAAGCAATTACTGAAAGAATTGTAATTTGCATGTACATAAATGAACCACTTTACTTTTCTCCTTAGCATATCGCTTTCTTAGATGAACGAATACCACAAAAAAAAAAAAATTAAAAACAAAAGGCTGAAGAAATATCCTCTGTCTATGGGAAAGTGGCTCTAGTAGCACTTTGATGGGGTGGTGCACCAGCACACGATATCAGTATTTCTGTATTGGCACAGCAGTTGCAGTGTGTGCAGCCATAGAGACTGAGAATCCAGGCTCCAGGGATCTCTGGTTATGCAATGGTATAATACAACATATGTGGGTGGGTGTAAGCCTGAACCCAAAACAGCATGGTTACTGAAGATATACTGCATCGCTGGTGCTCATACTGCTGTTCCCTCATGGGTTCAGACACTATTTGTTGAATATTCTGCTATAGACAAGGCAAAAAGATTTTTCTTTTTTTTTTTTTTTTTGCAAACATATCTGAAATTATCTAAAGTGCGAGCAAATAGCTTGACATTTTGTAGTTCCTGCAGAGGATTCTCACACCCTAAAAACAGTATTGTTTATTTAGAGCATCTCAGTCTCCCTGTGTAGCCTGTTGATTTGTTGCTCTTGTGGATGGTAAGAAGGAGGAGCAAAATTCAGATTTCACTGGCAGCATTAGGTTTATTATTTCTGCACTTACAAGTGCCTACTAGAAGGAGTCGTATGAGATTTTTTTTTTGTATAGAAATGAAGTAGATGATTGTATTAAAGCAACAAAATAAGTTCACAAATTTTTAAAAGACTGAGTAAAGAAGAAGCTGAAACTGATAATAGGGAGTTTGTTACTGTGATGTGAAAAGCCTTATAGACTAGATGGTAGATCCATAATAGTTCAAGAGAAGGTTGCGAATGGGGTGATGCCCTGCAGTCAAATTTGTGACAGAGTAAGAAAACAAGTGTGTGTGATGCAGAAACCTTCTACTGCAGGGGCATATTCTAGGTAATGCACTAGCAATCCACACTGGAGTTCACATGGACTATCCAGAGAAAAACAAGTTTTCCTCATCAAAGTCACAAAACTGATAGTCACATTTTACCCTGGTCATGTCAGAGTTGAAGTATAACTCCATCCAGTAACCTCTTAGCAAAATTTTTACATTGTTTTGTCTGCCAGCTGGTAATTACCAATATCTCTCCGTTAACAAAAGCACTACCTTTTCATCAAGCTGGCTCTGCCAGCCATGTTTGTTCCATGTGTCTGCTAGGAAACAGAGTAGCTTTCTCAGTTTATCATGAGCACTACCAAATTACATCTTTTACTCATTTGGGGAAACCAGTTTGAGCAGACAGGAGGCTCCTGTACTAACTTCCGTAGTAACCTGTAGAAATTTTAATTAAAAAAAAAAAAAAGAGCCTTCAGTGTCATTACAAGAAGATAGCAGTTTGTTCTCTTCATTACAATGTGGGAAAGGATGATTTAAACTCTCATTGAAAGTTATCAGACACTTCATATTTAGAATAAGTATTCAGTATAATTTCTATAGTTTTGTTGTCATGTCGGTCTGCTTCTTTTTTCAGTGACTCCTTAACTATAATTTCTTTATTCTGTTCTGTTTACAACTGGTTGGATGTTTGGATCAGCAGTGAGACATGGCTCTTCAACTGTGTGCCATCGGTGCAGATCCTGCTGAAGATATTAAATAGCTGGTTTAATAAATCATTAATCAAATTTAAAACATTTTAATTTGTGCCACTGGTGCAAATCCAAGTAAGGTCAAGAGACTAGCTGGCTCAATGGTTAAGTAATAGAAAACAAAGTTGTACCTCCAGCTTATGCACGAGTCTATAAAGAGTCATGAAACTAAGGCTGAGACCTTAAAATAAAATGATTTTCCAATTCAGCAATTATTTTAAAGTCGGTCTATTACAGGTTATTACTTTCTGATATGTTTAAATACTCTGTGTTGATCTATAAATTTCGATAAAGAATAGTATAAACATTTTACGTGTAGCCACTGATACAGCACAATATTCATCACTCTAAAAAAAAGGTGCAAGAGGTGGTTTCTTCAAACAATCCCTTTCCTTGGGCAAGCATCTAAGGAAAATACAGAACATGCACCATATTTTAGCTATGTTATATTAGAAAACCATCCAAATGTCTTAGTGGCCTATACCATAGTCCATGCTTGCCACCTGAACATTGCCACAGGCCTCCTGAGAATGCTTTCTGGGTTTACACCTCCAGTCATGAGTAGGAACCCAATTTCAGTGATTGCTGTAACTATTAGTGGGAAGGAAAATGGGTTTTGCTTACAGTAAAACTCAATTACTCCTTGCATTGCACCAATATTTACAAGGTCAAATTCGTCTATTAAACAAATAACCTATGTCTGTGAGATTGCAAGATAAGAGAGGCTGTTAACTCTTCCACTTGGTAACAAACTACATCACAATTTACTTGATTCTTGTTTGCAATGTGGGCATTTGCAGCAATGACAGGCATGTGGAAAACTCCAGAGGAAAAGTGGCCTTGGGAGATATCCATGCATACTGTCTCCCTTCCTGCCTCCTCCCACTCAGCTGCCTACTGTGGTGCAACTTTTGAAATGGCACCATATGCTCTGGGATACAACCTCACATATATTCTTAGAAACAGCAACATCTGGAAGAGTGATATTTACTGAGCTTATGTGGTATGACTTTGATGGCTGTAGTAGTGACAGCCATTTGAGCTGCCTGCAATTCAAACCCATTGCAGCCTTTTTTCTTTTATTCTCCTACCTGGTCAGACAAAAAAATTTTTCCTTTCCATTCATCCTTCCCATGATAAAGGTTGTAGCAAAACCCTGTATTCTCATTATTTAATGCACAAAGTAGGTCTATCTGGCTTGTCTTTTCTTTATCTGAGATTTCAGATGTTACTGTTTTGCTGCTTAGTTGAATAAATATTTCTGTTTCTGCAAGTCTTTAAATAAGAATGTTCTGTAGATCTTTGTCCAGGACATGTTGGACCACTGTGGTTTTTTGCATTATGCAGACACACCAAGTTTCATCCAGACTTTCCCAGGCAGTTCCTAGACAGGGAAATTCCAGATTGAAATGTATCCTCAGCATAGTAAAAAAGGTTTGAGTCCGTCTCTAAGGAGCAGTGGAGGTCCTGCAGATCCTGTAATAAGGATTATCTTTTGATTCATCATCTTTTTCTTTTTGTTCACCATCCATTGAGCTGGTCCTACTACTTTCTTGGTCCCACCTTGGAAATGATGCACCAGATATTTTGCTGTAGTTATTCTAATCTGACAAAGTAGGCTTTTCTTAAATAGCAGTATACTAAAGAGAGGTTTCCTTTCTTTTAGAATAATTTAGAAATGGGGCTAGCCAAAGGCAATCTTGATGCTCCCAGGTGCCAACTCTCCCGGGTCATTGCAGACCTCTCTGCAGTGTACAACTCATCTGAGAGCAGAACCAAAGCCTTTGAGATAGGTTTGCAGTATGTGTGACATCTGACTACAAATGCAGTGCAGTTGATTCACTACTAGTATGGGTGCCTGACAAAAATAAATGAATCTTAGCGTGACTCCGCGAGTGGTGTTGACACATTCAATTGTCTGTGCTTCGTTTGCTGCAAAACAGTAGCTATTTTAGAAAAGCATTTGATGAGTTTAGCATACACAAAGAGTAGACAGATTTAAAAGACATCTTACTGGAACATTCTATTTTTGAGATTTCTCTTTGACAAAACTGCCTCATTAAAGACTTGGATATGAAAAGCAGGAAAATGCTTTTGGATCTCATGTAAACTAAATTCAGAATTCTGATGAGCTGAATCAGTTCTTTCCATACATTATTTTCCTTTATCTGTATTTCTCTTTGTTTCTGCGTAAGAGATGACATAAAACCTTAAGGTATCTAGATCTTAATTAGTGAGCAAGAGGACTCCAAACTGTATGAAATAAGGGAGAACAAGGAAAGAGAAGGTATTTGAACCCAAATTAAATTATAATATTT